CAGCTTGATGTGTGCAGACTTGCATGACATGTCAGCGTCCAGTTGAACCAACAGGGCCATGCAGAGTCATCCATTTGGGATGGCCTCAGAGCAGAGATTCTCATCATTCCAGTTTTGACTTGAGAGAAATTGAGCTTTGACGTGTCCCAAGTTCCATTTAACCAGATCAAGTGTGTGTGTGTGTGTGCGCGTGTGTGTGTGTGTGTGTTCGCTTGCTTTTCCTTACAGATTGTGCATGCCCACCCCTCAAGCCCCGTGTGTTGCTGCGAGGACCGGAAGTCCCCACCGTACGGACCAAGCTCATCACAAGAAATCTAAACGCAGTTAAGGGGGAGTGGAGTTGCTCTCATCGGCACGTCGTTCCTTTCTCCTTGTGAGCCTGTTGGGGTAAGTTATCTCCTCATGAGTACCAGAACGGCACTCTTTCTTTCTGTCAGCACTATGGGGCGACCGGAAGGCCTCCCCTGCCCGAGCGGTCCGCTTCCAAGCATGCTCCGACCCAGGAGGCCCGATGTGCAGAACGGCACTCCCTCTCTCTCTCCCCCATTCCATTTCCATGTATACATACATCTAGCGAGCTGGTGCAGGCGCCTGCGGTAGCTTCGAGCTCTCGCAGTATTTGCGTGAGGACACAGGCCACGTAGCCCTGAAACTCCGTGAGGCTCAAGCCTGCGAGCTGCATAACTAGCTCGACATCTTCCATTTCATCATGGACTTTTTGCTGTGAATGGCGCACAACGTGTGATGGCAATGTGCTTTGGTTCAGGCGAATCCGGCCACAACAAAAACTTCCCTTCCATGCACGTCTCCCACAAAATGAAGTCTGTCCCTGAGACAGGCTCAAACTGGCGAGGGACCTACATGTTGCTTAAAACCAAAGTCTTACAAGCAATTCTGAACTGGACCTTCTCGGCCAGCAACGGAGGCATAGACGGCTGAGACACGCTGCAGCGTGGCAGGGTGCCGGCAGCCCAGGCGATCAATCAGGTGCTGCGTTGCAGGCTGCAGCTCTGACACTGGAACAAAATTGTCCAAGTTGTCAAAGTTCTGGAGCCCCAGCAGCGCCAAGGCCTCTGAGAGCCCGGTCTCAGTCCGGTCGAAGGACTCCAGCAAGCCACGGAGCCGCTCAGGGAGCGGAGACTCCAAAGTGGTGCTTCCTCGTTCCGCTCTGTGCCCCAACTCCTCGTGGACCGACTCACAAGGCTCGCTGGCCGCGGTACCCATCCCACCGCTCGCTCCGATTCGCTTCACATCTCTCCAGCATCACACACTAGGATCTTAGATCCTGCCATGCTGCAAAGTGAAAGACTCCTCAACTACTATCTTACCATCACTGCTCGCTGCTGACCAGGGAGTTGTGTTTTTCGCCACACAGCAACGGTCTGTCTTAGCTGAGACATGGCGAATGCACTCCAGTATCCTACGACATGCACATCTGAGTCACGCCCTCCTCGAGCCGTTGAAGCCGCCAGAATCCGAGCCACTTGCACCATTTTGCTCAGTAAGCCCTGCGTGATCTTGCCGAAGAGTAGGCGTTCAGGTGAAGTTGTCTGGGCGAAAACGCAGAGAGAAGTTGCTGGGCTGCATTGCTTTCACGAGCAGATGTTCAATGAAAACCAGTCGCGGATGAGAGTGGCTGAAGTTGCAAAACTGCCGTGTGGTCTGCTTGTGCAAACTGTGATTACTCGAACGGTTAGTATGTGTGTGACTGGCCTGCACTTAGACCTCTTGTTGGAAGACCGTTTGGAAAAATGTGGGCAACTTGAAGACCTCAAACACTTTTCGAATCGCAATGGCCACACACCGCAAATTTTCTCGAGCTCCCTTCCTTGCTAGCAGACCTCCTCAACAAAAGCAGCCGCGAAGCCGCAAAGCCGAGAACAGTTGCGAAGCGGAGAAAGGGTGAACAATTGATTTTCGAATTCGTTTGTTTGTTTTTCGGGTGGTCCTGGGACTCTGTAGACCTAAATGTGAGGATGCTCCGCCCGAGAGCTCAATTTTGATCCAAAACTTGAGGAAGCCACACATGGGAACTCAATTTGGTGTCAAAATGTGAGACTCCTTGCGAGAGCTCAGTATTTAACAACGCTCTGAGTGGGAGTCTGACTTAGCGTCAGAATGGTTGGGGGGCACAGCAACCCCCCCCATTTGCAAACAAAATGCTCGGTACAGCCTGCCTCTACTGCAACCATGGTGATGACACGGTGTTTTTTTCTGCAAGCATGGATGGACTGGAACAGAGGAGGGTGGGGGGGGGGGCGGCGCCCCATTTGCAAACAAAGTGATCCGCACGGAATCCGCACAACCTTCATTTTCTGCAAATATGGCGATGACATGATGCTTGTTTTATATTGCAAGCAGCATCGTTTTGAAAAGGGAGGGCCGTAGCCCCATGGTGATGACATGTGAAGCGCTTTTGGGTTTGACTCAAGGCGCCTGCAGTACATGCGTTCAGGACTGCACAAACTGATCTAAGTCACCTACACTGACATCAGCGAGACATTCACACTCAACCTGTTCTCTAGTCAGTTTGTATACTAGATCTACAAAACTACGTGATCGAAGAAGCAATTAGCTGTCTTCGTCGGGCATTCACTGCAGCTACAGCCAATGCATCCTGGGCGCTGGTAATCCCAGTTCACTATATAAAAGTGTGCACTACTTACGCTGCAATGTATGCCACGGATGGACATACGTATGCCCTCATGTCATACACAGAAAGCATACAGCTTAGCTCTACTAATCTCGTAGGAGCATGAGCTGAAGATCTTCCAGAGAGGAAGTGCGGGTTCATGGCCTTAGAAAAGCAGTCTGCGGACCGTCGCCGAGGAAGATCGACTGTCTTACAACATTGAGCTCTATCTGCAGACGCTTGTCTTGCACCTTGGCCGGGACTTCAACTTCGGCAGTCGGATAACATGACATGGGGAACATGCTTCTTGGCAGAGTCATACCGATCCGGACCCGGTGAGAGGTGTCCGTACATCTCGGCAAGTACGGCACGTATCTTGTCGCCTGCTTCTTGAGCGCTCTGGAAAGCAGAAGTTTCTGCCTGAAGGGTTGCTCTGCAAACCCGTTTGATTGTCGTGCTGCTAAACGAGACGAGCATGACGTCAAAGTAACAGTTTTTAGGGTCAAGCAACTGTTCAGCTGCGCAGAGAAAAAGAATGCGTCCTTGCCGGGACTTCATTTGTGTCTCTCCGGCGAAACTGACGTCAGAAGCTGTAAGAACACCTAGCTTCATAAAGTCTAAACTTCCAGAATGGCGGTACCTGATCTTCAGCTCTTTGGTGTCTAAGGCCAACTTGAGTACCTTATTTGCATCCCCTAAAGTAGATACCTTCGGACTCTTGATGCTGCTCTGTATCGGGACAGCTTGTAAAGTGTGTCCGGACGGGCTTGACGCAAGATCCACGAGAGTGAGCCTACAACGGAACGCAGCTGTCGTTCCTCTCCGCTGGTGATTGGCTCTGATGCCTTTCGACTCTTGTTGATGTCGATACCTTGCCCTCTGGTGAGAATAGCTTCCCACAAAAACTGAGTCTGCCGATCTCTCGTTTTCCGATTGCGAAACGGCCAAGCAATTTGGCCATGACTACTTGTCCTGAATCGGTACGGGCCCACAAAAAGTCATCTACGTGAGTAGTCAAAACAAGATCTACTCGCCCATTACTCCGATGGTAGTCAAAGGCAGGGAAGATGTGGCTGGCGCTTTTGCCTACATCTTTGGCGTCGTGGTCCACCTTCTTCCAGAATCCACGGCCAGAATCGCAGAGTCCATAAGCCGGTACTCTGATAAGCAAATATTTACTTGAACTCTGGCTCAAAGTCAGGCTTACGGGCAACATGTCCCTCAGAGAGCAAGTCTAAAAAATCTTGCCCCTCTATCGGGATCGCAGCTTGGAAGTCCTGATACTTCTTCCACTCCTTGGCCCGACTTTCATCGATCTTGCGTCGTGTGAAAGGGGTGGCTGTGTGGCAGCTAAGCACACTGGGAAGGCGCTTATACTCTTGCCTTTGTTGACGCTCAACCTGTTCTTTGATTTTAACACGGTTGGCATTAACGTCTTGTAGGTCGTCCATCCTTGGCTCTGTTGCTCAGTCATGGCGCCAGTAAGGTCACTAAATTAAGCCGCACGCACCTCACAAAGTTGGTCGCGTATCTGTTGCGGAAGATCGTCGTCAATATCGTAGGAGCTGACCCTACGACTTGGAGGTCTTTCCGCATTAGGTTCCACACGGCTTTCTCGCCTATCCAGCACGTCTGCGCGACTTCCACGATGGAGGGAAGCGGCAGATCAAAGAGATCATTCCCAAACTAGAAGAAAGAAGCAAGAGCAAAACCCTCCAGCCTAGTCCCGGGCGCTCCGCTTTTCTCGAACCTTCAACGCCTCGACCGCAGGCGATCAAGGGAGTTGGGCTTCGGGAAGACCTCCACCAACATTGTGCTCATAAGGTAGCACACTCCTAAAATCACAAACACCGCATAGACTAACACTGGTCTTCCCTACTTTGTTGGAGCGTTTACAGCTCGGAGTCCCTCCGGCGATGATCACCGCCACAAGCAGCTTCTGCTTCACGGATTCCCACCAGGTGCTAGGATCCTGGGGTTTGGTGAGCACATCGCTGAGCTGATGAGCATTTGGTAGAAGCTGAATAGGACACTTTGCCTTCGACCTCCTCATCTTATGATCTTCAACCTTCGCCTTGGAGATGAGGTCCGAACTGCATCCTGTTTCCATAACCCACTGATGTCCCTCATGGTCATTGTCGCTACCCTTCTCCCCAACAGCGGACTCACCTTCGGAAGCCAACACCATGACAGTCCGAGCCCCTTTGAAATCCTCCACGACGATACTACTAGCGACGCAATCCTTCTTTTGGTTGTACTGTGTGACCCGAATCATTCCCGGCCCTGCCCATGCCTTCTTCGTCTCTTGTTGGCAACCTCGTATAGCAGATACCCTACAGATCTTGCAGCCTCTGTATGTGCCTGGAAACTCTCTTTATGCTCATCGGTAAGAAAAACCTTCTCATCACACAGCCGTGGGCTGGGGCGCCGCTGACGAGGATCCTTTAACTTCCTCCATTGGGCGCCCTCCTTGACTTCAATGACATATGGCTTAGTGTACGTAGTGTCTGAAAACCTTACGCTCTTGTTCGCGGATGGCGTTGAGGTAGCGGGGACGGCCATTTTGATGGCAGGAGCTGCCGGGGGCACTTATCCCCCCCTTTGCAACTACCTTGTCCCGTCTTCCTTTCGGAGAGGTGCTTCTGGATTTCGGAAGTAACATGGTCGCTTCTCTCCACCGGTAGGAGATTCCGATCTGGAGCCCTTTCCCTTTCCTTTAGGATGGGGATGCGACTTCGCCTTGGCATCGGGGACTACCGGCACTTTCGGTTTGTCATTCTTTTCTTTCTTGTGTTTTTCCTTTTCTCTCTTGTCGTTTTCTTTCTTTTCTTTCTCCTTCTTTTCGTTCTCCTTCTGTTCTTTGTCTTTCTGCTCCCTCTCGATCTTTTCTTTCTCGTTATTCTCCTTCTCCTTCTTTTCTTTCTCCTGCTTCTCCTTTTCCTTCTTGGCCTTCTCCTTTTCGGCCTTTGTTGCCGGAGCCCCCGGCTTGGAGGATTTGTAATCTCTTTCTCTCTCTGTCCAACTTAATACGCTTCACGATGAAACTCATCAACAGATCATACGTTTTGCGATAGTCGGAATCGGGCTGAAGCGGGCAACTGGTCATACAAGGAAAGGTCAAACTTCATGACGGCGGAACCCCTAATCTTCTTGTACAAGATGTCCCTCAATGTTCGCTTTGGGGGAGTATCTTCCTCGCGCGTACCCTCAAGAATAGCGTGCCAACGATTGTAGAAGTCATATATCTTTGCATCACCTGGGTATACATCACCTCTGCATTGTCACTTGACCGGAAGTTCTCAAACATGATGGCGATCACTTCCCTGCCTGACATGATCTTGGCATGTTTGGCACAGTGACGTTGCAGCTTCTCCACCTCAATCCTGACAGCGCGAGCGACATCGCCTGCAGTCTTCAGCAGGCTAGTCAAGGCTAGGCACATCTTGAAGTCCATTGCGCGGTACTCTTTCTTTCACTTTGTTGAAGTCTTCCAGCTTGGGGCTGGAACTCCAGGCGGGAGTAAGCCACTTTATCCACTTCTGACGGTCGGGATTTCCCGAAGCTGTAACCAACGAGATGGTTATCTGAGATTTCCAGAGATCAAGTTGATGCATCTTTGGGTACACTGGCACGGATACTTTCTCCCTTTCCTTGCGAATGACTTTGTCCCTCTTGTTCTTTTTCTTCTTTTTCTTCATCTTATCGCTATCCTCAGATGAAGACGAAGAACTATCACTGGGACTAGATGAAGCAGATGATGAGCTGGATGAGGTCGAGGATGACGAAGGGTCAGAGTCCGGATCACCGCTCGGGTTGGGATCTCTTCCTCCATCACCTCCCGGCATCTCCCCCCCCAACTACCCTTCGGTAGGGCAGGATAACCATTGCTGCCTCCACCTCCTGATCCGGAAGCCCCGCGCGCGGGCGGCGAACCAAGCCCGAATGAAGACATCTGCAACAGTCCTACATTAGCATGATACCGGGCGTTAGTGATAGTGTCAAACAATGGAGCTTCTGCTGCCGAATTAGTTGCTGATTTCGTGTGAAACACAGAACCCCCAAGATCACCCCACTGAACCCCTCGAGATGGCGCAGCCATTGAAGCCTTCTGAGATTCTCGAATCCTCGCCTTGGACTCGACTTCCTTCTGAATCAATGCCGAATTCAACTGCTCTACGAAGGATTCTTGATCACCCAACTTGTCTACAAGCATTTGGTTCTGACCCTCCAAAGCTGTACACGCGCTCTGCAGTCGATCAACAACATCACGTAACTTCTTATTCGCGCTATCTTCAGGGGAATTGACGGCTTGCCAGGAACCCACAGAGGGCACGCTATTGGCTTGCTCAAGAGATTGTTGCAATTGAGAAATGTACTCCTCTTTTCTCACAAGCTTTCTCTTCAGCGCCCCAGCGTCATTTGTGGCATCAAGGAAATCAACGCAGCTCCTGCTGCACTGATTCCTCAATCTATCTAGTTCCTGCTGAACGTCACGGTCTTGTGTCTGCCTTTGCTGGCAGATTGCTGCATGCTCTTCACTGACCCATTGTTCAGCATTAGAAACCATAGCTGCTTGCTCCGCCATGTGTTGTTCACCACCCGCGAGTTCTTGCGCTCTAAGCATATATACCTTAGGCTGTTCACTCTCTGACTCAATCTCTGAAGCGCGGCAACCAGAAACTGCCTTGCGCAACTCGTCCCTGACTTGGTGCATCGGTTGCTCCCTAAGTGCATCGAGCCTGGCGTTTGCATTCAGCCTCTCTACCGACTCAGATCGCACTGCCCCAGAACTGACGACTGTCCCCCCCAAGTATCCAACAGCAGCTTCTTCATGCCTCAACTTTTCTCGCAGACCATGAAATCTGACTCAACCTCGACTAAATGCTGATCACGGACTACGTCCCTTTGCTCCAAACCAGCAATGAGAAAGTTCTTTTCTTGCATATCATGTTGATACTTCATGTTGAGATGTTGCGCTTGAAGTTCCGAAATTGCTCTCCAGCGGTCCAACTGTTTAATCCTCTCAGCTGATCCTCTACACTGTTGTTCTTCTGCTTCTAAGTGTACTCTTAGACCGGCTGTGTCCCTGAATGCCTGGTTCTGGAGTTCTATGTAAGCTTCCCTTTCAGCTTTCAGCAATGAGATAGCCTGCTCAAGATTCATGCCACCACTGCCCTCATGTCGCAATTCAGCTGGTGGGCGAACCAAGCCAGCGTCCCCAACACTGCGAATGGTACGCAGATCAGAATCATCAGTCTCATCTACGTTCGTAGAAGCTCCCTTCCTCCTGACCAACCTAGAACCACTCCTTTCTGGCCTTGTGTATGACCGATGTCTTGCGTCTGGGAGAGGCACCTCCATGTCTCGATGACGAGGAGATCTCTCTGATAGCACCACTCACCAATGGGGATCTCGGCCACCTGGAAGATCCAGGTGCACTGCTTTGCCTAGGGGTGGGAGTCTCAAGCCCCTTCATCGCCACACCACGGGCAGGTGCCGCAAGCACTTCCTCAGGTCGCTGTGTGATTCGTACTGGCAGATCCTGAGCTACCTTGAATTGATCGCATTTTTGACCACGCTTGCAGTCTTACGGCTGCTAACCTGTGAAAGGGCGACTGGGTGGTACTGTAGCGAATACACTCCAGGAGAAACCCTTGCTCTGCGCTTCTTCGTTTTCAACTCGGCGATCTCAAAGCTCCGGTTAGTCAGTGGTGCAGGTCAATTGTATAAGGCAATGTCTACCTGCATTTCCCACTGCGTTTGCAGTTTACAAAAAGGGGAAGCTTGAGCCAAGTGACAATCGACCACACACTCACCATGAAACATTACCTACGTTGCTAGCCAGTGAGTAAGAGTACATGCATGGAGTTTTACATTCATCATCAGCCTGTTGGTCTGATGAGTCAGCATTTTCGGCGCTCGCAGCTGCCGATGTGGTATCCGTCTTTTTCTTAGATCGGATAGCGTCTTCGTAGAGCTTCAGGCGCATAAGCGTCCTGAACTCCCAATCGTGAAATGAGGCTGGGTCACCACTATAGATGTATGACCCGGACCTGGTCTCCAGAAGAGTACCAGTGGCCCCGGTCCTGGTTTGGTACCGCAGGCTAGCTACACACATGGCTCGAGAGGAGCTCAATAGTCTACAGTAAGCTAGGGGGCGAATTAACGGGTCGAAGGTAGGGCTCGCCCGGCCCTGAAAACAAAACAGTACCTACCCAACCGGATACAGGTGCTGCCACCTGCTCCGCTACCAGTTATCGGTAATAATAGGGATGCGAAGCACTTTTGGGCTTGACTCAAGGCGCATGCAGTACATGCGTTCAGGACTGTACAAACTGATCTAGGTGACCTACACTGACATCAGGGAGACATTCACACTAGAAAAAACAAACGAAAAACAAGACAAACGCGAAAATACTCTTCCGCGGAAATTTGAATCCCAGGCATCCGCTTTCCGCTCAGGCCGTTGCTTTCACTTAGCTTTCACTGCTAGTGCCTTCCACACTTCCTCCGAGCTCGTATGAGCGAGGCCTACGAAAGAACCTGTTGCATGCACGAGGATTGAAATGACCTCGATTGAAGCGCGCTGATTCACCACACCCTCCAAAAAAGAGTCTGTAGTCTGCGAATTTGCAGTTCCAGCTCCACAAAACCGTGCCATCCACACATCCGCGGCTTCCAGTTCATCAATCCCAGTTGCACCCATGGGTGTTGGTCGGCCTCGCGACTTTGTGCTTCTGTCTTCACAACTCCGTGGTTGTCCAACCCGCGCATTCCGGCTCCATGAAGTCCCAACACAGCTTGAGTGGTTTGCAACTAAAGTACGGTTTGCCTCCCCAAGTCCACGTTGGCCGCGTGTGCATTCTTTGTAGCACCAGTCTCGCAACCTGATTTCTACAAGGATCGCAGCACAAAATAGTCTGGAAGTGGGCAGGTGATGCAGGCAGCCACATCAAGCCCTCTTGGCAACAGTACACCAACTGTGTCGCATCATGCGGCAGCTTGCGACAGCTTCTGTGACAGCTTCCTTTTTCTTGCAGAACGCCTCTTCGGTGCATGCTGGAGTTCGCTCGCTACATGTTCCAATCTCATCAGAAAAAACAGGCTCTTCCCCCTCAACGCTGTGCAGCTCAGGCGGTTCAACTGCCGGGGGATCATCCCCTTGAGGCATGGGATCGTGCCCGCATTTCCTCAACAAAACTTCTGTTCAAGGAGTTACGAAGCAAAACCGGAGCGTGCTGTACGCCTCTGTCTCTCTGCAGAATGCATGGATCTCGCCTTGCAGCGCAGCAATGCTTATGAATCTTATGAAAGATACTGCAAGGTACTGACAGCTGAACAGCGCTGATCAGCAACTCACTTGACAGTGCTCGACATGTCGCACCTCGTAGGACTGCTCGAGGTCGCTTCTCTGGGAATCGGTGAACATGAGGCTGTCGCCGAGGCTGTCGCCGGGAAGCTCACGCTCTTCATGCTCCATGAAGCGAACACTCAGCTTGGAGTCACGCAGCCTCCTACAAAACTTAGGCACGTCTAATAATGCAAAGCATACACTAAAAATTCCACGCATGGCTGTTACCTTGAAGGCGGCGGCACTTCAGGTTCGCAGAAGACTGCATTTGTGAGGTTCTCGATGTTCTTGACCTGGGCAGAAGCCAACAAAACCGCCAAGGAAGCCTTGAGCCCTGCGAAGCTCTGCGAAGCTGGCAATCGCATCAGTGAACTCCTCGACACCCTGCACACTATGGCAGGCCGCGCCTCTCCACAATGCTCCACTTTATGCTTCTCCTCCTTGCCTTGGAAAGGTCCTCTGACCCCGCATCTCTGTCTGTGGGCGCCTTTGCTGGCCCCTTGCAAGGGATGCTGTTGGGCAGAAGCTCACCTGCAGAAACAGTGCACCTGCCAACACTTTGCATGGCCCAAGCTGCCAAGATCTCCCAAGCCTGACACTTGGCCCAGCTGCTCCTTCCAATAAGAGTGCAGGCTCCTCCGTGTTAAAAAGCTTCTGCTCTTGCTTCACATTCTCAGAACATTTAGTCCGTGACCGGAGCTCCGCCAGGATCAGAGCCTGGCCGCTCAGGACCTGAACAGCTTTTCACACTCAAAAAACGATTTCTGACGCATGGATGCATGGATTGTTTTTATGCCTCCTTGCGGAGTCGGTCCTGACTGCGTCTCAGCTCCTGGGCTTAAGATCTTGCAAGAATCATTTGGTCAATGTCAAAGTCCTCCAGAGCCACCTCTAGGCCCTCCAGGCCCATGACTCGATACTCTACGCGACTCTACGCGGCTGCAGTCAGAAAAACTCTTCTGCGCAACTGCAAGGCGCGCCAACCAAATCGGTCATTCGGTCCTTCACGGACACTTTTTTAAACGCTGCGCCGCTGAGGGGGGCCCAGAAGCGCGGCAGCTGCTTTACCTCCATGCTACAGCAGTGCTATGAAGGAAGCAGCTGCAGCAACCTCATCTCTCAACCTCATCTCTCGTCTCCTCAATCTCGTCTCAATCCCTCTCAATTTGGTGGATTTTGGCGGGGGCCTCCCAGTGCTCTCGCGGCTGCTGCTCCTCCAGAACCTCGCAACTTGACCGAAACTCTGCGCCGACCGCCGACTTCAGTTCTCTCAGTGCCCTGCGCGAAGTAGGCCCTCGTAAGGAGAACAGTCAGGGTCCTCCGAATAATAATCGAACCAACAGGCCTCAGGCAAAGTGATCGCAAAGGCGGCGGCGGCGGCGGCGGCGGCAGCGGAGTGCAAAGCAGCTGAGCCCGCAGCATGCTGCAACAAGCTCTCCTGATACAAACGAAGTCGAAGCTATGTCCACTGCAAAGCTCTGATGCAGTCGCCGCTTTGGCTACCAACGCAACAAGACCATGTGCAGCAGATCTCCTGTAATCCCTTCCCCTAATATTAAATTCTTCCCTAATATTAATAATAGATTCAGAGGCCTCAAAAATCCAGAAGACTACTGTTAAACGGGGAAGACTACTTTTTAAAGGGACCACCTAATAATGAATTAGGGAGGTTTTGAGGTCATTAGGGGGAAAAGAAGAAATACAAAGGAATTCATTTCCTGGGTTTTGACTGTTTTTTCATATGGTTTTGATGAAGGATTTTAAATACAAGAACTGAATCCGATTTGCATTGATCTTATTACAATTTTAACCGTATTTAAGTAAATCTCAATTGGGTTTCATTCGATTTCAGTTGATTTTAACGGGAGATGTAAAAAGAAATTTACATTAGATTTCAATTGATTTTGAATGTATTGTAATTAAATTTCAAATGATTTTACCGGTATTCTAATGCGATTTCAATTGATGAGGAATCTTACTTAAATTTCAATTGATGTTAACGGTGTTGAATTCGATTTCAATTAATTCTACAAGGAATTTGAATTAAACTGCAAGTAAATTGTTAAAGGAATTGTACTAATTTTACATAAATTTCAATTGAATTTAAGTGTATTCTAATTGAATTTCAATTGATTTTTTCAATATTTTAATTCAATTTCAATTGGTTTTTGGACATTGTTAATTCGATTTCAATTGATTGTGAAAGGAATTCTAATTACATTTTAATTGATCTTAAATGCATTCTAATTCGATTTCGATTGACTCTTAAACGTGATTTTAATTCGATTTCAATTGGTGTTGAAAGGAATTCTAACTAGCTTTCAATTGCTCTTAACGAGATTAATTCGATTTCAATTAATTCTGAAAGGAATTCTCATTGAATTTCAGTTGTTTTTAACCGTAGTTTAGTTCGATTTCAACTGATCTTTGAACGTGATGTTAAGTCGACTTCAACTATCTTTAAAAGGAATTTCAATTAAATTTCAATTGATTTTGACTGTATTTTACGTAAAGTTAAATTGATGTTAACGGTATCTTATTTCGATTTTAATTGATAGCTATTTTCTTTAAATTTCAATTGATTTTAACGGGAGTGTAATTCGATTTCGATTTTCAATGTATCTTAATGAAATTTCAATTGATTTTTACGGTATGTTAATTCGATTTCAATTGATTCTTACACGGTATTTTAACTCGATTCCAATTAATTGCTAAAGGAGTTTTACGTAAATTTCAATTGATTGTAAATATAGTTTTATGAAATTTCAATTGATTTTAACGGTAGTTTAATTCGATTTCAATCGATTTTAAAAAAGATTCTTAATTCGATTTCAAGAAGCATGTAATCAACTATTCAATTTCATGAATTACGTTAATTGATTATTTCATTTTCCATCGAATTTAAAAGGATTTTACAGGCAGCCTTATCTAATGCTTTCAATAAATATCACCCCTAATATTAAATAATTCCTTGGGATCCGGATTATTTAACACTGGGGGGGTGCTTTTTTCGGTGTAAGTGATGGGGGTGGCTTTTTTTCGGGGTAAGTGATTACTCCGAAGATTGGTCTGAACACGTGAGAACACCGGCTTCATCTTCCAGAGCCGGTGCTTGTGACATGTTTTGATGGTGGGACTTTAAGGTATGTTGCAAGGGGCTTCATAAGGCTTCAGATCTGAAGCATTAAAACGTCATGGCACGGGTATTGCCAGGATCTCCTGCATGTGAGACAGCTTTGTTGCCGGCAAAGCCCGCAGCAGGCGGACCACCGCAGCCACGTCGCCTAGACGCCACTAGGCCCAGAGATGCAAGCAGTTGCAAGGAGTTCCAAGGAGTGTCAGGGAGCAAGGCCCATCGGGAGCTTGATGCTGAAATCAGACCATGGCAGGAACCTAGGTCTTAAGTCCTAATTTGAACCCCATAAGCACAGCCGCCAGCCTCCCAAGCCCTCGCCTTAGCACCTCACGCTTGGAAGGGCACCACCATCGCATCGGACAGAATCACCGGCACACAGCCTTCGCAGCGCATTGGCAGCGTGCTTGCGCGCTGTGCATCACGTCATGGGATGACGTCCTGCGAAGAATGCCTCAAAAAGGCGCCCATTAGTGTAGCCAACACCTGCGGTCTGCAAGATCCGTGTCCTCTTTATCAAGCTTCACACAGCCGGGCCTTTCGGCACCAAGCAGAAGGAGCAGTCCCCAACACGGTCGTAATAGTCCTGCTTTTGAGACCGGCAGAGGACGTTGGACTTTCCAAGAGAGTGTCAAAAACTGCTCTCCAGGAGCGGGGTGATATGCGGCCCGATGCTCGCATCAGGCCTAAGATCTGCAAGGCTTTCCAGAAGGGTTGTTCTCAAAATTCTTTTCATCGAGGGTGCTCGCCGGACAGAGCCTGGATCTGTCTCCGTACATCAGCTGCGCTGCTTCCGTTGAAGGGCCGTCCTGCAGCCAAGGTGCTTCACAGGTGCTTCGCAGAGGTCCTTTACAGCGACGGAACCAAGGCCCTCACCTTTCGCGTGGGTCTTCTCGTAGAGCTCATGGCGCAGAGCACCGTGGAAACCTTGCAGCTCAGAGAAACTGCAGATTAAAACATTGCAGAAGTGTTGACTGCAGAGACAAAAATGTGTCACAGAGGTCCAGGTGGCAAAGCCGGAAGCGTCGCGGGGCATTCAGTGGCTTCCGCCGTTCCCGAAGCCGACGCACAGCCCAGGCATCTGTGTGGCCCGGAACTACCATGTCCTTCCAGGCCTCGAAGCATGAAACGCCTCGTTGTGGAGAAAATGAAAGGAAGAGGAAGACACAAAGACTTAAAACATTGTTGTTCGTAAGTATTCGATCCGTTTGATATTTTTCTTTTGATGCTAACTTGCTGACTCACATCCGTGCGGCAGTGTCGATAGTTCTCCACGTCAATCAGCGGGTTGGCCTCCACCGCAAAGATTTTGGACCTGCCCACATGTGCCTCCCAAGAAGGGAAGTCCCAGAACTCGTGCGCAAAGTGGAAGATGTGCTGCCTGCAACACTGCAACAAGCTGGAAAAATAATCGTGAGAAGCTCCCGTTGTGGCCTCCTTCGGTAGACATCAAAGTACTGCAAAGACTTCACCACCGCAACGTTGTGCTTCTCCAGCTCCAGTGTCTCTGTTCCTGGTTTGATGTGCAGGTTCCTGAGACAGGGCACAAAGGCAGTAAAAGGCACAAAAGGGGACAAAGGGACAAAAAGCTTGCAACAGGCCCAGCAGCTGGAAGCAGAAGGAGTAGAAGGGAACGTAGAAGAAGTCTGCTGCTTCGGGATCCAAAGTGCGGCAGCGACTCTGTAGCATCCAGCGGTGCAGCAACACCTCGGAGCCCTCCATGCCTGAGGCACAGCTCAGGAGGGGCCGGGTATAGTCGCCCAAATCGTAGACGTAGAAGCGAAACCGATTCTCTCCCAAACAGCTCGTTGGATCCACCAGCCCTGCCACCAGAAGCTTTCGCGCGGCATCGTGCCATGTCAGATTGATTACCCAGTCGCTGGAACCTGCAGCTTTAAGTCTCAGAGTCAAATTCCACCTCTGAGGCGGTGAAAGTGGCCTTGCCTTGCAAGAGGAACGCCTGAGCCTCCCGGTAGGCCTCTGCTGCTGCCGCTTCGCCCATGTCTCTGTCAATGTAAGGCAAAGAGTGGAGGAGGACCGATGCCATGCCTCTGAAAACCCGATAAAGACAGCAAGAAGAACACCACTGCTGAGTACCCTCACAGGTGAGAGCCCTGTCCTGATGCGCAGCTGGCGGCCGCCTCAGCCTCCGCATGCTTCGCACGCGGGGAGAGCCTTGAGAGTTTTCTGAAGAGCGAGTAGAAGAACTCCTTCCCCTCCCTCGGCAAAGGGCTCAAGACCTCAGAGGCGTTCCTTAAGGCGAGGCCTCGCTTAAGTTAAGCACTTCTAGGCACTTCTTTTCCTGTTTCTTCCCTTTCTTTCGCCAGGGCTCCGCAACCTCCTCCAGGTACCGCACGTATTCCCAGGTCTCTTTCAGCAGCCCGTTCCCACAACCATAGCCTGAGCAGCCCGTTCCAAGGAGAAGGAGCAGCACCAAGACCTCGGGCCAGGACGGAAGCCAGGGCACACCGTGCTTTAAAAGCTGTTAAATTGTGCTTCTGAGAAGATCGCAGTTCTTCCAGACATTTCTTCAGAGGAAGCTGCATTGATGGGTACAGCTTGTTTGGAATCCCAAACTGGACCAACAAACATCCTGAAGACCCAGGTTTTTTCACGGAACGGCGACAGGAAATTGAAACGAAAGCCAAAGGGGGTCTGGCCACCAAGCCTCCACGAGACTAAATGATAGATCCTGTTTGCCATACCTTCTGACTGCCTCTTTTATCCTCTTTTGATACCTAGAGAGTGGTCGACGTTCCCCTCGAGGCTTCAGTGAAGTGAAATCATCGCTGCCCCGGCACATCTTGTGATATCATGGCAGCGGTCAAGGAAATGGTCTTTGTTCGCTGAAACCAGCAGTGATGCAGTGGCCATGCTCGCGCAGCGTGTAAATCGTGAGCAGTGGAATGATAACAATCAGGATCCGCGTCTCCATAACCATCACCAGCAATATATGGTAAAAGTGGCAAAAGTGTTCTGGTCGCATTTGATTTTGGGCGAGTTGGAGTACATCAGAGCTTCAGAAGTGAGACAAACCATATCATGCGGATGTGATGAGTCCAGCTGGAGACCATGCATTGAGCCAACACGTCTCCAACAAGACTCACATTCACTCAAACAAGTCCAATGCTACTCGGCACCATTTAATTTTCTCCCCATTCCACGAAGGTCCCAGGGTGCTCTATGATGTGAAACGAGGACACGAATAGAGCACCCTTCACGCTTCGGTTGGGGCCATGCAATCAAAACGCAGTGATACAAAGAGCCCAGGATGGCCTTTCAGGTCTTCCCCACTCTGGAATTAACCTCTAAAACTGGCGTTCAATGAGCCACTGCTCAAAACCAAAACCTGCGGTCTTCAAACATGCCGGCCAAGGCCGCGTCTTGGCTCGGTCCTTAAGCTTCAGTAATTTCACGCACTCCTGAAGCAAACTCTTCCGGGCTAAGCCAGCTAAGTTTGCTGCTTCAAAGCTTGGACTTGTTTCCCTGTGGCTCAAAAAGGCGGCAGAAAAGTTTTTGATATGTTTGCTTGCACCAGCCTGGCGGATGGCCAGGTCCAGCAAGATCTCCTTGCAAATGTTACAAGAGGGAAGACTTGTTTTATGGCCGGTCTCAGGCGTCATCAGCGGCTCCTCGCTGCCCCCCGGGATGGCATATGCGCCCACGTCTCGGTACAAACGCTCAGCCTGGGCCAAGCAGAGCGAATGCTTCAAGTTCTCAAAGAAAAAACAAACGAATCCGGGAACGAATGAATGTGTACGTCTTTTCTTTGAATGCTCATGTTTTTAGTTTTGACTTCACTCGGCCACCGCGCCCTTTCTCCCAGACCAGAGCGCGTGTAGGCATTGCCTCCGAAAATCTGCCGCGCCTCTCACAGGAAGCAATTTCATCGGAAAAGCAGAACATCTCACAAGTCTTTCTCCGAATCTGACGCAGGACACTCTTGGGAATTCTGCACGCGCTGTTGTCAGTTCCACGGCGTCAGTGACATGTGTGCAACGGCTTCGGAACCCAGGAAAATTCCCCGAATCCCGGCGTTCCCCCAAGCGCTGCGTAACCGCTTAGCTCAGGGCAAGGTGATTCTATACAGTGAGGGGTTGAAAGTTGCAAGACGGTAGTTACGCTACCAAACGATACCTAGCCGGTACCTGGCCTGCCTCCCGTAGCCCGAGTGCCCCACCGAGTGCCCTCTTATCAGGTAGCACACGACGCAGTTCCCGTCTTTATGATTTGTCCACCGAGTAAAGTTCCCCAATCCGAAGGAGAAGTACTAAAGCTATGGGCAGCTACTCCTAAGGCAGAAAACAGCGAAGACACCTTTTTAGCTTGATGTCGCACCTGAACCAAAACATCCGCATCAGAGGGTCGAAAATTCCTCAAGATTCAAAAGTAGAAACGTGCAACAAACCAGTTAAGCATGCCATGGATCCGCATGGCAGCGAGTTCCCCGATCATCCTTGATTCCCCGACTGCTACCTCGCGATCCACTTTTTTGCAAAACGGGAACAAGCCTACTCTTTTCCTCCACAGCTTGTACCAACAGGGGCTTCGGTAGTGCAAACTATACACTATACAAGGTACACACTACACATAAAAGAACATACAAGTCAGGTGCAATCATTTCTCGCACCCTCCTTGTTGTGGGTAGCTTGTCGCTCCCATACCTGCGTATTGGGCTCATCGTGTTTTGCTTTTGAAACACAGTTTGCAGAAATGAAAGCCCTTGATGTCATCAGCATTTCTCAGCCCATGACAATCCGGGCTTTGATGGACCTTTCGTCCCTTTCTGCTCACAAAGAGCTTGTCAACCGCAGTTGCATCGCCAAAGCGAACTGTCACCTCACGGTTTCCGCAAGGGATACACTTACAGAGGCAAACGATTGTTGCCACAGTCAACACAAGAAAGTTCATTGTGAGACTGAGCAGGAAGTAGGGCATCCATGATGCACCGGTATCACCCGCATAAGGGATAAGATCCATAAGGTGTCTCCCTCAGAGGCCGGTGTTTGCCAACAGCACTAACGAACTGCTTTGCGCTGAGCCTGGTGCACTGCTGCGGCTGCCACTTTTTCCAACTTGTGATTGATCCGATTGTTTGCATTGTGTTCTTTGAAACGTGTTTGTCCAGCCCTTGCCTGTCCAAGGTTACTAGACCTAGCATTTCTCTTGCTTCCTCAAACTCGGCTCCAGTGCCCAAGTGTTTCGTGAGAGCATTTGACGGATTTTCAGTCCCCTTTATCTTCTGCACTATCACTCTCTTCTCTTTGACCAACTCTTGGATATAGAAATGTCCAAGATCCAAATGCCTCATCTTGCCAGCTCCAAGTCTTCTGGCGACCTGGATTGCTGCGCTGCCGTCACAGAACAGCCTTGGCACATCTATGCTCACGCCGAAGTCCTCAACACCCAGGTTCCTTACAAACACCAAGTCCTGAGCGCACTGCGTCAGTGCCCGAACCTCAGCCTCTCCTGAGCTTGTAGCCGGTGTTCCCTGCTGAGTTCTAGCAGAGGTCTTCACCACAGTCCCTCCCAGGACTATGGCCTGGCCACTGGTGCTTTTACGGTCTTCATTGTCCACCGCACCAACTTTCCACCAGCAATCAGCTGCGGTGTGTCCATGTCTGTGGCATATGTGGCATTGTTTTCCAGCATGTGGACTGTTGCCTTTTCCTTTTCCTTCCTGTTGCTTTCCTTTCCCGCCTTTGCTGTCTGACGACTTTCCTTTTCCTTCTTTTCCCTTCTTTCCATCTTTCCCTTTTCCTTTGTGGTCTTTGTTGTCCCAGCTTCCTTTGTTGCTCCACTTTCCTTTCTCCTTTCCTTTGTTGTTCCAACTGTCTTTCCCTTTTCCTTCTCGTTTCCCATCTTTTCCTTTTCCTTTCTCACCCTTGACACCGCCAATGTCCATAGGCCTGAGGCCTCCATCGTCATACGGATTTTCTGCCGCTTTGTTGGTCACTTTTGTGAGTCCAAATTGTGAACCCTGAGGTCTCTTCCACAGGTTGCGATTGATCAAATATTGCTCAACATACTCCCTGATCTTCTCATAACTGTCCAAAGCATCACTGTGCGTGAAAATGCTCTGCTGCAACTCCTTAGGCGCAACATGGGCTAAGATTGACACCTTCTCATCTTGAGAGAAAACAGTTTTGTAAGTACGCTCAAACTCTCTAAGCTCAGCTTCCCACTGATGAAGCGCAGTGCTCCACTGTGAGATGTCACTTGGGAAGGTAGGATTTGCTAGGTGGCTCACTCAAAAGAACCAGTCTTCTCCAAACCTCAAACCCATTAGCATCCCTAAGCCCTTGTCCTATGACGTTCATGGTAGGCTCAGGACAGTACTGAATGAGGAACGTGTACATGGCCTTCGATAGCCTGCTCTCCTCAGAGGCGAATGCGGTCTCATCCACAGGGTCCTTACTACTACCAAACCTTTCCAAGAGCTCAGGATACCTTTCACGCACTGTGCTAGACCATGCTACAAACACATGCTTGAACTTTTCCCACTCTTCTTTCTTGCCATTGAACGTGTGTGGTTTTGGGACATGGCAAGGGTGGATCAAATCCTTCTCTTTCTTTTCAGCGCTTGCTGTTGTTGCCGCTGCCGCTGCTGCCGCTTGTTGACCCTGTATAACGTTTTCGGCTGCTGCTAACCTAGCTTCGGCCTCTGCTGCCCTCTTTTGCTGCTGCTCATAGGCTATGTTGGCTCTTTGCAGGCCCTGAGTCAACTCTTGAACCTGCGCAGCCAACCCCTCCAGGGTAGCCGACATTGTTCAAAAACTTTTCTTTGCTGTACAGTAAAAACTCTACAGGTGCGCTGCACCGAGTTCGGCAGCAACCTAAGCTACTGCAAAACACTCGGCGGTGTCACCCGCTTTTCACTGGTGATATCCAGATCCGCCTTGGTAGCCCCAGCTTCCTCCGTGCTGTTGCCACCCTTTTACATTGTGGGACCTGTACCACTCAGCCCACAAGCGGTTCTGCTGTTCTTGGCTAGCTTCTTCTTGTCATTGACGCCAGCCCTGCCAATCTTGTTGGCTGCTCCTCCACTCACCTGGTGGTACGTCCGGACCTCGGCTGCTGCTGTTGGGCTCAGTCACGGCCCCTTCTTGGCTTGGTGTTCCTTGCCGAGAGGCCCTGCTCTCGTAGTCAGCAAACAAGCCGACCTTGCCTTGGACCGAGGGGGTTCGGACGGCTCAGGTGGTGGCTGGTCTCCACGCAAGGCCCTTTCCTTGCAAGCGGCTCTTCCTTCGCGGCTTCTTGCTGCTCTCCTTCTCAGTCGATCCCAGGTCTGGTTGCTGCCAACTGATGGCAGTTGAGGGCCCTTTCTGCACGCCTGGCGAATCCTCTAAGAATTCTCCGCTCCTCAGCTTCTTTACTCCTGACTCTGAGGAAGGTTTCTCTGAGTCCTTGCCTCCGCCTTTGGCTTGACCTCTCTGGGTCTTACCCTTTCCTTTCGGGCCACTGGTACCCACCTCTTGCGCCGTTTTGCCCTTAAGTCCCATCGCATAGATCAGCGCCTTGCCTGAGTTAAGCGTATAGACGCCTACCAGCGCATAGCGAAAGCCTTCAATGCTAGTCACATGCGGTCCAGTGAGATCTAGAACAATACGGCCTTTGTTGTATCAGCAGGGTCTAGCTTCCGATGAGGCCTCAATGCTCCCCTGGCAACTCGACACTTGTCACAGGATACGTCATAAAGGCCGTCCCGGCAGCGCTTCATAGGCACTTTGATCCCAAGCGGAACCATGAAAGTCCGATTCCTCATCTGCTTCAGAAAGAAACGCAAGGGCCTGATTGGCGGACACCATTGCATCAAGGATCTTGCTTTGCGGTACTTCGCCCAATACATTCAAACCCTGACCCTGAATCTCAAATGACCCTTTGTCAGCATCATCATCCCCTATCTTAGCCCTCAGCAACCCATCCACGCTCTGACCACCATCTGACGAACCGGACTCAGGAACCTCAGGACAGCTCTGAACGCGGTAAGTGGTGTGAGGTGACTGGGCGTGTGTGGTGAATGCGGTATGCTGATGCTGATGCTCTGCTTTGGGAGGCTGATGCTCTGCTTTGGGAGACTGATGCTCTGCTTTGGCAACTGACTGCACGCGATCATCTTTGAAACCCAAGTCTTTGAGCTCGCTCAAGATTTCCGAGGTCACGTTGCTGGCTGCTTGGCCCCATTGATCCGAACGCGCTGTTGTGGCTGACTTCTCGGATCACACCTGGTCGTGGCTCTTCATTTTCCCCGGTCACTCTCATGCGTGATCCGGTCTCACTCTCCAACCAAAGCTGACCACCATCGAACTTCGATAGTCCAATGAGAACGCTATCCCTCTCAAGAGTGTTGCAGTCTTTGTGGGGTTTGTACACTGTATTGATAGACAATGTCATCGAAAGAAACGTCTATCCTCCACCTCCGAGCCCTTACTGGGAGGCGGACCCTCAGGCTCTTTCGGCTTGAGCCTTACCGCGGCCGTTCCTCCTCTAGGAACGCCTTGCATCAGCCTTTGCTCGGAGTCCTCATAATAACTACTGTCGCAATTTGAATAGTACTCATAAGAATATTCGTTGGAGTTGTCTTCTCCCGTTTTCCTTTGCCTTTACTCTTACCGTACTCTTACCCTCCTTAATACCTTTTTTGGCCTTCCCCTTCTCTTTTGACGAGCAGGATTTACCCTTGCCTTCTTCCTCCAACGATGGTCTTCTAGAGGACTCCTTACCCTTAGGTCCTGGGCGCCAGCCTAGGATCCGGTCTCTTTCTTCCAAGGCATCTGCCCTCCTGCGCGGGGCCCGAAGGATCACCACAGCTATAGCATCGCCCAATCCTTCCCTGCCTCCAAAGGTGTATTGATCTCCTCGTCAGCCTCCACCCTTTGTGTCTTAGGCAGTGTCTACACTCGACAGTGTAGCACCTGTCCAAGTAGTCTGGAGGGTCCTTTTTGCGCCTTCACCCTTACGTTTCGGGCCCCTTTAACTCTAGGTTCCCTTCGGGCAGGTGGCTGCTCGGCTTCGAACCACTGGTCCCTGACCTGGACAAGTGAGCTGGCAACGGTAGAGGCGGAGGCACAAACTTGCTGAACTTTCAGCAACACTGAGGTTAGGGCCTAAACCATAAGGTCCTAAACCGGGGAATCCCTGCGGTCGTCCTGACACTGCAGAGACGTTTCCATACCCCTGAGTAGAACTGGGATAACCCTTACTTAAATCAACTGGACCATTAGCCGGGTTCAGGACTCGTTCACGAAAGGTATGGATCCGTTACTAATACCTCCAACTCTAGAAGTCCCAAACTGTGGTTTATCATTCGCGACTAATTGCGAGCTACCACTAAACAAAACTCCTGCAGTAGGCGAGACAAGACCGGGTATATGCCCCTCTCTCAACCTTGCTAACTGACCGCCAGTCGGGACCTGAGGTCCTAAAACTGATTGCACAAGTGCTGACCCGCCAGGTCGACTGCTATCTGCAGCATTCACAGCGTCACCCGTTCCCTCCAGCGCCGTATGCGCCGAGATCGCTGAGCCCGAACGAGACTTTTCCAAGCTCACAACACGTTCCTGCAAGGCCTCGTTCTGATCAAGTAACAACTGTAATATCGCACTTGCCTCACTCGTCATGGATCCTGACTGAGCTATCTGCTGAACTGCACCTCTAACATCTGCCTGGGCGTGAGGTAAGCCCACACCGGCATCGTTAGGACTTTCAAAATTCCTGACCGTCGCGGCACCTTCCGGAAAAGCACCGTTCAAGTCTTGTTCCAGTCCCTCAAATAACGCAGTTTTACCAGAAGCCAGACGAACCAAATCCAATTGAGCAGGGCCAGCACTAACACGTAGGCCAAAAACCTGACCTTCAGAATGATCCAACTGCAAATCTTGAAACTCATCCGCTGCACGGTTTCACTGGTTCAGTCCAGCCGTCGAAATGCTATCACGATCCGGGGAGCCTTGAACAGCATTTACGTCATCTACCGTGGCGTTAGCACTTAGCGTTACGTCCTGAAGGACATCTCCCTGGCTTCCCGCACTGCAGCATTTGTCGCCCTTCTCAGCATATTGCCGCCAGCCGTATGCCTCGTGGATGCTTCACCAGTTACCACTTGATCCTCAAACTCATAGGGCGGATGTTCTTCATGTTCTGAACCATCATCTATAACTGGGACCATCCATGCTTCCACTTCCGGCGGCCATTACAACTGTATCCACCACAATATTACTTACTACTTCTCCATCGAGGAAATCAGGTCTGGCAGCAAGGAGTCGAAACTCCTCTTGATACCTCTCTGACCAAAGCGGATTTGGATTTCCCTCTACTGTTGGGGCGGCTGACGCACTTGCTTGACTCACTGGTTCCAATCCAGGAGGGGCTCCGGAAGTAGAACTTGGGTCGTCATTCGACCTACCATTCCAGCACGGTCACTGTTTTCCATGGCAACACTTTCGAGAAGCTCAGCGGAAGCAGCCTGGGCTCATCACCTGTTGGTGCAGGAATATGGCAGGGCGCGCAAGAAGGAAAACCTTCGAACCTCAAGCAAAAACACTCAAGCAACAGAGGGTCAAAGGCCCACAAACGAAAACCTTTCAAAAATGATGTGACTACTATAGTACTGTACATGCTACTTTACATGTCAACTGCCTATACAGAGGCTAAGACGGCTGCGGAAGGCATGCTTGTACATGTTTCAGTACAGCAGCAGTTACTGTTACTATTACTATTACTATTACTATTACTATTACTATTACTATTACTATGACCAGGACTACTACTATTACTTTTACTATTACTATTGCTATTCCTATTTCTATTGCTTTTGCTATCTATACTATACTACTTGTACTACTTGGTACGACCCCTGTCCCCGTGGCTTATTATTGCCAAGCTCCCCCCTCCGTAAACCAAAAAAGCAAAACAAGTTTTGGGGTGGGGTTATTCGTATCATGGTAACATTACTTCTGTTCTCGCTCCTGGCCCCTTTGTGCCTCGCGTGCACAGTACTCGAAGATCTTGGAGGAGTGTGCCTACACAGCAAACCCATGCAAAGCAAAGAATTTAACATGTTTTTGGCATGAAGAAGTCATCTTGGCCTTCATGAGTGCAATGGGCCCTCCCAGCGTGGTCATGGCCTGGTCCTTTGGCATCCTGACAAGAATGAAGACTCATACCCTAGAAAAACTGTCATTACTTTTCGCTGGCATTTGCTGAGTGTAGAAAAGACATCCGCTGCCGGTCGATTTCCCGGCACGTATGGGACAGGCATTGGTCCGCAGCAACCATTTCAGGGGCCGATTTCCTTTCCAGAATGCTGTCGAAATCCTTCAAGAATCCTTGCCATAGGATGCCTAGTGCAACCTCGTAAATTCTAGCATGTGTACGAATTGTGCATCCTGGTTCGCAACAGCTTGCTAAGAAGAATTCGCATTTCTCATGAGGCGGGAGCTTTAATTCCGTCAGTACCTGCCGCGCAGGAATCCTTCAGGACAAGTGGGGGACAAATGGCCGATTTCATGATTCCAGTAATCAATGTACCTGGAACCTGGACAACTGACTTCAGCTCAGCTCAAAGAGAAAAGAACTCCTTGGCGTGCAAGCTGGCTTACAGAATCTGCCCTGCCAGACGAGGCTGCGGAGCGCACAAGAGCGATAGACTTCCCTCGAAGCACTTGATATCCGTGCCACGTATGCAACAAGCCGTGATCCCACCCTTCAGTGCCCAAGGCTGTGGAAAACTGACTTGGGCATGGGCTGGCAGAGCTGGAACGTCATGTTCTCGAGCCAGTGGTGAATTCCCTCAACCTCTGAAACATCACGAGGCTCATGTCACAGCGCACTTCTCAAATGCCTGGCGGGTCATCTCCGCCAGCTTCCAGCGGATCACGGGATGTTCAACGAGCCTCTTCCTGGATCGGAAAGAGAAGCGGAAAGAAGTGCGGGCCCCGGCGAGCCGTGATGAATCTCCCTTGGCCCTCGGCCCGAAAGTGCTTCGCTTGTTCGCAAAGTTCCAGGAGCTGGCAGCACAATGGAGAGGCTGACATGAACTCGCACAAGTCTGAGGCTCCAACTCTTCTAAGAGCACCCGGCTAAAGCGGGTCGCCTGATGCAACCCCTTATCGGCGAAAGAGGTCGGACATTTAGGGTTCCTTGTTTTGAAGCATCTTACTGCAGCGTCCTGCACAACGAAACCCCATCGCTCGTGATTGAAGTTCTTCATGATCACGCCAAAGCCCTCATTCTCCTGACAGGTTGCGTCAAACGTGTGACGACTGTGTGAAATGTCGGTCGGAGCTCCTTTCCGATCAAATTGGCCACTGGGACCTTGACCTGGACAAAGGCGAGCCGGGTTTAAGGCTTGAAATGGCTTGAAGTGGGACGCGCTCTTCGCATTCGGACCTGGTCGAACTCCACGTAGGTTGTGCCACTGGGCCAGACCTTGCGCCAGGGAGCCTCTCTCGTTCTCAAGACTCTGACTCAGCGCTTTTGGCCCGGACACCCTGGCAATCCATCCTCTTCGTCGTAATCCTGCCGAGCAGAGCTACGCAGCCACATGAGAGCTGCCAAATGCTTCTGGCAGCGCGGTCCCTGGCATCGAATCCTTCTCTAACAGCAGCATGGACACCCCACGCATGCCCTTGCGAAGCAACACAAACATCCTTAAAACAAGCATATTCCATACAGCCAAGTTCAGGCTCATCCACTTGTCAGCTAGTAGAGACGGCCTGCCCACCCGTGCGCACGGCGCAGGTGAAGTAGTCGGAAAAGATCTGTATGTTCATTACTTTCAAGACTGCTTTGAAAGAGCTCATTATACAAACATGCGCACCCCATTGGTAATCCACTTCTTGTTGCCATTCACGATGTAGAAGTCACCATCTCGAACTGCGGTAGTCCTCGGGCAGAGAGGCAGTGCGAAGATGCGCCATGGCGCAATGTGCATCATGTTTGTGGAGCCCACTTGATGGCGGCGACGTCGCTGCCAGCTGATGGCTCTGTGATGTTAAGCGAAATGATTTTTCTCCTGGCAAGGTTGGACAAATCACGATGGCATTTGATGGGAAGCGCCACGCTTTATCATGCAGGGGTTGCCCCATAAGGCAGTCTGGCGCCTCGGGAGCAGTGCTGTGGAGCTGGCAGGGACGCAAAATGACGCAAACAAGTCAGCTTCGAACCACGCGCTTCTTCATCTCCTCCGTGCCGAAGTTGAGCACTGGTGGGAGTCCAATCTGCAGACCCTCAGACAGCTCAGCTCACAGTCCTCCGTCTTTTCGCTTAAACCTCTCCGTACCCTCCTAGCCTCGATGAGGCCCCAGAGCACACCACCGCTGCCGCACCTCAAGCAAATTCAACCAACACATACTGTCTTGCACTGTGTCTCACACCGGATCTCACACCGTATCTCACAGCTGTCACACGTTCGCAGAAATTGGCAGATCGAGGCCTGGCGAGCTCATCCACAAAGATCAGCTCATGAAAGTAGTCCAGGTCCTGTGAGGCAGCCCGGTGAATTGTTTCAAATGTTCCTTCCGAAAGCCGCTGTGGCAAAGTAACCATTTTTTGCAAATTAGGATTGCCTTTGCTTTCAAACTTCTGTTTTCCGTTCAAGTGGCACTATGGCACTATGGCCTGGAGGAAGGTTTGGGGAGCCTCCAAACACTACACAATATTGTCACATCACAGCAGTTCTAACTCTTCGTAGTTCAAAAGGGCTGCAGTTGAAGTCACCTTGAGCGAGTGGGATTGCAATGAATGTTCGTTGACATTGTGCCGAACTGCGGTTTTGGCACAAGTCGAGGTTGGAGGATATGTCGCGGGACAAGCATAAACATTAATCACTGGGGACACGTCGCTGATCTCGGCAGCATCGGCGATTTTGGCGGGGGAAACCGTCTGTTTGCCGAAACCAAAACGCTCGAACGACTGGGGTGGGAATGATTAGCGAAGCGGGGAACCCGTTTGGGAATTTCTGCTGCTGAGGTAGGCATACTGCCACAGCCTGTGGAAGAACACAGTAATTGCTCATCTGCGACCACACTTGTTGTCACTTGCGATTGATAAGCTTCTGTGTGATCCCACAACCTGAGTACGAGCAACTGACTACCCTTGGAGGCTGTGGGATTCTGGTTGGGCATGGCTGCTCTGGGAATGGTCTGCTCTCAGGCATGAACGTCATCTCATGGATACTCTGTGAACTGATCGATTGCTGACATGGACGCTATTATGGCTTCGCCATGGATACCCTGGTGGGCGGATGCATGTGAAAATCCACGTTGTTGTGCATTGAGAAAGGATGCTCTGGAAATCGATTGCGCGTCGATTTTGGCTTTTCAGGCAGCAACGAAGTCGCTCGCAGCAACAACACGTTAAACATGTCATCAGCAGGGAACATTGAAGATTTGATAACATTGGCAAAGGAAAGGCCACGAGCACACATACAAAATGGGTTCAAGAAGTAACCCCATCAGTGCTGATCAGTGCCTTTTCAGCACGCTATCCTCTGTGCAATGGGATGAGAGGGGAGTAGGAAATTGGAAAAAGAAAGATTTGCGCACGCTTCACCCAGCCTCCCTCAGCCTGGAGTCACAAGTTTGTATTCGATCTTCGCGGTAAGTTCACAAGCCATGCGCAGTCATGTACACTCATGTTTCACCCTGTAATTTGATTCAGAGCCTCAAGCATGTCAGTCAAGTTGTATTACAAAATGCACATGTCAGTTTCTTGTTTTGCACCGCACCCAAGGGGACATGCTGTCGGTGAGCCAAAGGCATAACCTATTCAAAAATGTTTGTTGAAGATTGTAACCCTCATGAGCACAACGCGGCAACACGCGAGATGGAGAAACAAAAAGAACCACTCATAGACCAAATGGCCTGCTCAAACGCGTGAGCAGCGTGGCAACACGTCAGGGTGCCACCTTAGCAGGGGGATAGCCCTCACCAATCTGATTACACACGAACTCGTCCACTTCTTTTTTTGCCTGCGCATGAGCTGATTTGTCCACTTTCTGAAGCACTTCGGGGATCCACCTCCAGAAAGTTTGGCTGCCGGGAGAGACGAGACAGAAGTCACTTGTCTACCCAGGCAGCCACCTGCCACCAGCCGAAATAGATTCATCACCTTTGACCACAATGGGCAGGTGGGTTCAGGTCCCAAAAGGTAGCTGCTGACATGGATTCGAAGACGCCTTCTTAAAGTCAAGAACTCGTCCACTTCTTCTTTTGCCTGCGCATGAACTGAGGTGTCCACTTGCTGAAGCACTCCGGAGATCCGCGTCCATCCAATTTGGCAAGTCACTTGTACCATTACAAGTGGTATCTTTGTGGAGCCAAAGTTGGTACCATGCACTCCTGGGGATCGAAGACCAAGTCCACGATACAAAATGCGTGGAAAAGAGTGCGCATACCACAATACATTTTCACGGACTCCTTCGGGCAGGGAAAAGGCGGCGGCCGCAATCTCTTGGAGATAGATTTCCATCACCTTTGCAAAAACCCTCCTACCTCTCCGACGCATAAGATCAGCGTCCTCTGTAAGCTGCAGCAGATCGATGCGTCGCACTGCCAGGACGGAACGAACCAAGGTCCAACGGCCTGCTGTGTGCGCAGGCACTCAGGATGCCAAGCCTGTCGAGAGGGCAGAACCAAGGTCGTGACGTTGCTGGCAAACGTGCGAAAGCTAACTCGATGAGCTCGACGAGAGGCCTCAACTTTGCAGCATGGTGCCTGGTCTTGGGCTCGCTTGCAAGAACAAGGACGTACGAGTGAGGGTCTCCTTTAACGGAAAATGGTTGTTTAGCTGCCTGGAGCTGGCGACAACTCTGGACACTGGGATGAGGCAACCGCGCCTCGTCATCCCAAACGCAGGTTTACGTGACAAGGCAGAGTCAAGTGAATCATTTTCTGTCGGAGCCACAGATCAAAAAGCGTGGAGGAGCTTTGCTCTGTTTCTGGCGGTTTGTGGCAGTACTGGGCAGCTCGGCGCTGGCTCTGGCCAGCTGCCGTTCCTGGTCCTGTCTGTTGCGGCCGGGAAAACCCAAAGCGGAGTCGAACCTTCACGCGGCGAAGAGACCTTGTGCTGGGCTGGCAGGTTGCCGTCACACAGAACGCGCCTTTGGATGTAGGGAGATTACGCGAAGGAAACCTAAACCCTCAGCCTCGGATTTCCAGCTGAGCAGCAGGGCAAGCATGCAATAGCAGACGAGAGCCCTACCAGGGAAAAGAAATCAGGCAAGCTCTGAGCCCTGAGCGACAACAGGCGAGGCGTTGGGTCATCCGCAACATTGACTATCAAGAGAGGAGAAGTCGACCCACCTTTTGCCAAGGCTCGAGCAACAGAAGAGTTCAAGAGGAGGGCAAGTTTGCAATCGCCCCCTTTGCGAGCAGCGTGCTGAGAGCAGCCTTTGTCTCAAGGACGTTGATGTGTGCTTGTTTGCGCCAACTCCAGGCAGCTTTCACATACGAGGAAAGGCCACACGGCATGTCATTGACAGCGACACTCTCAAGACCAGCAGCGGGAGGCTTTTCCGCAATAGGTTGCGCGACGAGAGCGGCAGCCAGGACACGGGCCAAGGCGGCAGCAAGCTTCGGATGATAGACTGAACTTTCCTGCGCGATGGAGCCCTCTATCGTAACATGCTGATGGCCACTTGAATCCTAAGAGAGCAAGCTCCTTTCAGAACCCGGCGCCATACGCGCAACTGGCTAACCAGGACTCAGAGACTCCCGGGTTGTCAAGAGCCAAAGCCGCACTGAGAGCCACCGCATCTGGGTTGCGCCAGGAGAGCTGGAGCATTGCAACGCGCAGCTACAATGAAAACGATGAAGCACGCAAGCGCTGTAGCATTCTCAGAGAAGGTCTTGGGATCACCTCTGCCATAACCACGTGGAACATCGTGGGAGTGGCTGCAGGATGGGCAGCGCCACTGAAGGTAGCGCACGGGGATCCTAACATGATCGATCTTAGGCGGCCAGCTTGCAGAAGGTGGCAAACCCAATCCAAGACACGGATCGCGGTATTGTACTGGCTAGCGGCTTCAGTCCAAGACCGGGCCGGTGTGAAAACCGCGGTGCTTGCCCAGCCACAAATGCAAGTGGCTTTGGGACAGGACTTGCGCCGCTGAGGCCGGGTTGGCCTTTGTAGTCACTGCAATCAGGACAATCATTACCGTCTTTAGGAGGCGCTCCCGGCAGCAGGCTCAAGAACCTACTTGGCAAAGTTGCTGCTGAGTTCCAACTTTGGCGGCGCTTGGTCCAGTTAGTATCACCAACTTCTCCGCCGACCAAGGCGCTGCTCCTGTTGCCTTGCCTCTGACTTCGAAGGCGCAAGGGTCCACCTAAATCGTGGCCACGCGCGTCCAGCCTCACCTCCGAGGACACACGTCCCAACGCAAAACGGCCGTCCAGGCGTCATCAACCCAGGAGCCACGCAGCATTGAGACAAGCTCCTCAGAAATGAAGCTTGCGTGGCTCTGACAGACGCAGCTGCGAGAGCAAGCCTTTTCTCAGCGGGGAAAGCTATGATTGACGCACCTTCCTTTACGGCGCATTTGCCGGAATCAATTTCAGCACCTGCGACCTGCGACCTTGAAAGCGCAGGCGCCCCTGATGCCTTTGCTGTCAGAGCCTTCCGCCTTCAACACCCTCGGCAAGGTAAGCAGATTTTGCCCTGCGCAGGAACTGGGCAGAAGTGGAGGGCTGGCCCTCAAAACATAGCCTTCATCTTCGACGCTGAGGCAAAATTAGTCGTCTATATTCAGACCATCCCAACCTGGAGGACCAAATGACCTTTAAAAAAGCTGTAATGTGCGTTTGGAACTTAAGTGTCGTTTCATGTGCCTTATATTCCCCTAGGGAATGAACCCGAAATTCTCGCACCCGAAATGCATCTCAATTTCCTGCAAAAGAGGAAATGTACCTTAAATTCCCATTTGCTGATGTGGAAATATATATATAAATACATATATATGGTAACCCCCCCCCCAAGACCTATCTTCTTCAAGATCTCAAACCAGCCCAAGTGCACAACTCGTCGTGACGGCGATCTACGGGGGGAAGGGTTAGGGTTTTAAATTTACGTGCTACAAGGGTTACTTATTGGTTGTATTCCTCAGGGTTTAGCGCACTTTCAATATCTGGATATTGAAGCTTGTTATACTGTTAGACTGTCTTGAAAAGTGCTGAACGGTTCCAAAAACACAATTCTACAGGTGAAAGGTGCTGTACTGTCCCTAAAAAGCCTTAGAAAAAAAAACAAACAATCTTTTTGAGTCTTCAAGGTTTAACTCCTAAAAAGATTGGGTTTTTACGGACGGTACAGCACTTTTCAAGGTCCAGAGGCTGAAAGTAAACAGGGTGCGGAGGGTGGGCCCAGAGAAGCAGGCTGATAAGCCGAAATATTGCGGGCTGATTCCTAAAACACGAAAACGTGAATTCAAGGAATCCGCACCTCCATTTTCTTTGCCCGTGGCAAGCATATGTCTGTAGCAGGAA